AAAACAATTTTGACTATTTATTCGATCAAATTTTCCATTATCATCATCAAAAAATAAAGCTGTACTACCACTAATAGCTCCTGCTACGTCCAAATCATATAATGATGTTATATTAACAACAACACCAGTCTTTTTTACCTAAAATTTTTATTAATTAAAAATACAATTTTCGGTTTTTTTTCTGGTTTAATAATAAACAAACTTTAATAATGTGCGTAGCAATTTCATATGGATGAGATTCATCAATAGATATATTTGATAGTTGTTGTTGTGTACCAGATCGTCGTGTCATTGTTTTTGTATTTAATGTTCGATGTGATGTTATTGTATTTGAAGTTGAAGATGGTATTATTAATGTATTAGGTGTTAATGATAATGATGAACGTTGAAAAAATTCACTTATTGGCATATTTAATCGAAATAAAACTGATGTACCACGAAATCGAAGTTGACCAACACCTGATAAAAAATCCATTAAACTTAATGTTTGATCCGATGAACGTAATCCAAATGAACGAAACATTTGTAAAGCTTCATCATTTAATGTATTATTTGATAAATTTTCACCTTTATTTTTATGTATATCTTTAATCATTAATTTAAATTCATCAAATGTCATACGTTGATTATTATTTATATTATAATAACGAAATATATAACGACAACGTTGTTCAGCTGGTACACCACCATGTTGTGTATTTGGATCAAGTGCAGCTAATCCAAGTAAATAATCAAGAAATGTTAAATAATTTCGTTGTGTTGAATCAAATGCACGAAAATAATCGATAATATGTTGAGAATCTAAACCTTTACGTAAAATTAATTCTTTAAATGTTTCTAAATTAAGATAATCAGATGGTAATACAGCATTATGATATTCTTCATAGAGTTTTTCTTGAATAGTTGATGTAAATTTAGCTGATATAAGTAATATTTCAGCAGAATTATTATGAGAAGTTTTTGATATTGTTTCAATTTGTGGAATTTTAACTTCTTCAAATATAACAGACGTATTTATATTATTTGATTTTATTGTTGAATGAAATATATCTTTAAATTGTTTATTTAATGATAATGGTTCCATACCTAATAATCGTGATAATTTACTTATATGTTTTAATTGAATTGTTGTTAACCAGACAATAGCATTATTTTGTAAAATATTTATTTGTCGTTCAAAATCAATTCCCTCAATTTTTCCATTTAACCATATATTAATTATAGTAGTTGATTTCGGTATAATAGCATAAAAAAGAACATCATGACCTTTAAATGGAAGTGTTTTTGTTGAACAAACTTTAACAAGTTGTATTTGTTCAGAATCATGAATTATAATTGGATCAATTAATCGTTTAATTGTTTGATATGATGTTTCATTAATACGACGTTCACTATATGGAAACCAAAGACCACCACGTTGTTGATAATTGATCATTAAATATACATCTTTAATTTTATCATAAATTACACCAACAATATAATCTTGTGATAAAAGTCCATCAATAGTATTACTATTTGATGATGATAAATTTTTTTGATCCATAAAAGAAGATAAAATAAAGAAACAACAATAACAACAAAAAACACGAAATCTAGGTGATAGAAAGCGCTTGTTTTTTTCTTTCAATAGATGCATAATAATGTCCATAATATAAAAAATTTATTATTTGATAAATTCTTGTCAATAGAAAATCTTCGATTAATAAAACATTCCATGTTGCACATTTGTTCGTACTACCGGCAATAGCGCTTAAGACTTTCATTTTCAGCTGTAAACGATTACAGATAATGTTTTATACCTAAATTCGAATTCTTTATTAGAAAGAATTCACATCAATTGAGAAGAAAACAGTTTCATAATATATTTTACTAAGAAAATTTTTTTTAGCGTCATCTGTAAAAAAAATCTATCTCGTAACTGACACCGATTTAGACTCAGATACATTAATATTATTATAATGTGCTGAAATCAACTCAATTCTGTCAGTTTTAACAGACTTCAAAAATATTCACTCGTTTTTCAAAAAAAGCCGGCAGTAAACCGCCGGTATAGTGCACATAATACCGATTAGAGAACATCACAGGATGCGTGCCCTACAGATAATCGATTTAGTTCTATGCTGGTCTTGCACATGCATGAACAAGACAGTCTTTTTTTTTAGACTACAGGACCTGAAGAATAATATTTGAATGCTTCAGGACATCCAAGTAGCCTAATTGATCATTATTTAATGAAGTTCTGGTCTAATAGTGAAACTCGTCGTGATGGTTCATTATTATCAATAGTAGCTAGAAGAGTATATATCGTACAAGTGACTAGTGCTTCGGCAGAAAATATGTAACGCAGCTAGATTGACATTTACCCAAGAGGAAACAAAATGATTTCTATGCGAGAAACTATTAGAAATCACTTTAGTGCTTTAAGGACACGAATAATGACTGGAAATGGTCAATAATGATCAGAAGAATCCATTAGAAATCAATGGAAATCACTCTAAATCATATGAAATCTTCAATAATAAGATTAAACACAAAGTTCTGATTTCTAGTGATTGTTATTGATTTTCTTGATTTTCAATACTTGCCAATATTTATAATGTGATTGCTCTTGATTTCTAATAATTTCTCGTAATTTTCATTTTCATTCATTTCTAAGCATTTTCGATGATTTCTATTGATCCACGATGAACAGATAAAAACGAATTTCCAGTAATAGAGATCATCAGAAATCAGAGAATTCAAGAAATCAGTTTGTTCTTTCTTGAATTTACTCGAAGACAAACATGTTTATCACCGAATCAACTTGATAATATTATTTATTCTTTCTTATGAAAAATTCAAGAAAAAGCAATAAAAAGAAAACCTCTACTTTACCATTGTCTTTCTATTTATATTGGTTACATTTTGAATCCTGTATCTGTGTTTGTTTAATTATTGTTGTGCTCACACTGTTGATATCAAGTATCTTTTTTATTTTTTATTGTATTTCTCTTGAAAAAAATGTGACAAGGTTTATTAATATGATTCTATTGTAAATGATTTTTGTATCAATAGAAGGTGCATGATATTTGACATCATATTTCATACGCAGATAAATTTCGTATCCTTGTCAAAAAAAGCAATCAAAAAACCATCCCAAAAGCCAAACGCAAGAGGATCGTTTGTCCTGCAAAACATGATGACTGAGTGGAAGTTTTCTGCAGAATGTACGGCAGGACAATGAAAACCATTCTGTGACGTACTCTGATACCGATCAGTGTATCGCCAGTAGTTTCTCAGTTTTTATCACATGGAATACGTAGGATTGATCAAAAGTTCTGATGATACTAAAATAAAAGCATAAAAATAGACAAACATTTTTCATTTTATTTTATTAAATATTTAAAATACTCGTCATAATTATTTATACAAAATTTCATCCTTTCTAAAAATTTGTCAAACAATTTTTTAAATTCTTCTTTTGAAATATTTTTAACTATTTTTGATACCATACGCATCAATTATTTTTCATTTGTTTGATCAGTTAAACTACGCTTGATGTAATTATTTAGTAAAAAAAATCACATGGTGCAAGATCTAGTAACAACGGTGGATACAACATGAGTTTGATATTTTCTTGTATCAAATACTTAATAACAGTTAAATATATATGAGATCGAGCATTGCCATGAAGGGATTTTATATCTTTTACATCTAATGATTTTCTTTGTTTCCATATTTTATTGACGGCAGGCTTAAGATAATTTTCAATACAATAGTTATGATCTATAGTCTTGCCTATATCTACACTATGTATAAGAACAGGACTATTTGATTTAAAGTGTATAGAAAACAAAGTTTTTGATTTCAGTCTTCTTCGACGAACAATAGTCGACTGATGATTCATCTTCACTAATCTACCTTGCGTTAGTTAATCTGCGCCCAATCTGTCTATGATAAATGCATGTCTCATCATCTGTAATAATAATACATAATGGCCACGATTCATCAGGAAATTTTGTCAAACTTTCACGAGGAATTCTTAGTCGTTCTTATTTTTGTTCGTCATTGAGTTGATGAGACACTCAACGTTGTAACTTTTCTTGTCTTTAGACAATCGTAAATAATTCTGTCTATTGTACCATAAGAGAGAGAGAAAGAAGTTTCACCGATAATATAATCATAAGCTGAATATAGGTCATTGTTGATAACCGATCGTACTAATTCAAGATTTACATCTGTCAGCTCAGAAATTGGACGACTAAATCGAAGGTTATCATTGACACCTTCTTTTCCTTCATGAAAACGCTTTATTCATCTTGCAATTATTGAATATGATAATGTGTTAGACTCCAATACTGTTGTAAGTTCTTCATGAATTGTCATTACATTCTATTCCTAAAATAGTCCGAATCTGAATATAGTATCAATTGAATTCATTATACATTTTTTAACATTGTTTTTTGAATAGAAATTGAATTGACTTATATCTGAAAGAATATCAAAACAAAGATTTATTATACATATATATTATTTTAGCCAAAAAGTTATACTATTTATTCCTAACTCTAATGCAAGCTGCTTTATAAAGTTGCCAACAATGTTATCAGAACGCTTGATCAGGTCTATGTATTTTCAATTATTCTATTAAACAAAAAATTTGTCAAATTTGATTTTTTAATGGTTTTTTTATTTTGAAATAGAAAAAAAAAGAAAAAAAAGAAATAGCAAGAACGGAAGTGTTCCGGAAAAAAAAGGAAGAGTATTTTAAAACGAACAATAAACAGGACAATGAACAGGACAATAAACAAGACAATGGAAGCATTTAAAACGATGACAAAGAAGAAAAGAGATTCTTCTAGTCTCAAAAGCTATAAATAAAAAACAAGAACGGCAATTAATATGATAAGTAACGGTTGAATATTGTCCCATGAAGGCTATGTCCATTGAAAAAAAACACAGCATATACGAAAAACGTTCAAATGATAAACAAGCAAAAAAAATAAAGAATATAGTAACTTTTAATAATTGATGTATGGATCTATTGGTGCTCCAACTCCATGAACAACACCACCTAAATTCAGATTGTTTATATTACCAGCTGCAAATGATGAGTAACCAGAACCTGCTCCATAGTTAGCCATCGAATGAGTTCTTTGAACACCAAGAGTTCCCTGAAGTATTTGTTGTTCAATTTGATCAGTTTGTTGAACAATGTCATAGGCTGGACGTCCAAAACGATGTAATAATGTTGCTTTATCTGTCCTTTGCCAACTAGGATTAATAGTTGCATCGAGTACTTCAATTGGACCTGTACATTCAAGTGGTAGACCATTGACTACTGATGCAGTATTTGCTCCAACTACATCAGTATACCCTCCATATACTCCGCCACCTTGATTTAAATTGTATTGAGCAGCTGCTTGATGATATTGATATGGGTTTGGAGCAGGTACATTCAATACTGGGCCTGGTGCTGGATAGTTATTTAATACTTCATGAACTGAACTGGTAGCATATTGATGCTCTTGTTGAGTTGGCATATAACCATAGTGAATACCACCAGCATATTCAGGACAACGGCCACCATAAGCGACAGGTAAGTTGTCTCGATAGACATATTCTTCTCTAATCGTTCTAGCACCACCCGGTCTTCCTACACCCACAGTACGCACTGGCACAGGAACAGGTCGTTCACGATCGATAATAATGGGTCGCTGTGTTACAGGCACTGGTCGATCAACAAGCACAGGTCGAGCAACGTGTACGACTTGAGGACGTACAATAACACCTATTAATGAAAAATGAATTAAAAATTTTATTTACGTAGCATAAGAATTGAGAACTTACGTTCTCGTGGAACGAAGACAGGTTTAATAACAGGCACGTAAACATTCCGTGGAACATAGACAATTTGTGGTGCCGGTGCAGGTTGCACAATAGGAGTAGGTTGCTGAATAGGAATTATTTGTGGTATTATTTGTGGGTATGGTGCTGGTTGTTGATGTATGACCTCGGCTATTGTAGGAACAGAAAAAAAATTTATGAAATAGATTTTAATATGTTATTTTACTTTGTCGCGGCATGTAGAAGACCGGCTGGATAGGTTGTACAATTACCCGAACTTCGCCAGGTGTTCGTTCCCTTTCTGATATGATTTCACGAATTGGATGAGTTTGAGTACCACCTTCATGCCCAATCAAGTGTATTTTAGCCTGTATACCTTGTGTAATACGTCTACATATTTTTTAATAAAAGGAAAAGGAAGCAAAGTAATTAAAAAAATCAACGCAAAACATGTAAATACTTTACTCGATAGCTATAAGAAGGTCACTACGAAGTCGTTCAAGATCAATTGCTGTAGCACCGTGTGGACTTCGTGTACGTGAACGTGAACGAGAACGAGAACGAGTACGAGAACGTGATCTTATGGGTGTTGGAGACTTTTGAAAGAAGATTAAATTTTATCTATTTCTTAATTTTAATAATAAATTCTTACTCTGGGTCGTCTTTGCCAAACTTCGATAATGGTTGGTCGACCTGGGACACGTTCTTCCCTCTCCCTACTCATATAACCACCATCACCTGATGTAATAAAACCACCAGCGCTTGGTTCAACAATATAATCAGCTACAAGTTGACCACACGGTGGATAAGGAAAACCTGATCCTAAATTAAAATGTCCACCTGAACCATATGATCCAACTAATGAATAAACATCAAGATATATTAACAAAATGAAAGATATAGATTTAAAACAAAATACTGACGGGTACCATAACCTCCAAATGTTTGTCCAGTGTATAAAGTAGTACCAGGTGGACATGGATTACCGCCTACCCCATTCACTAGTTGCCATCCAGGTGGACAAGGATTGAGATTTATAGGTCTCACTGGTGCTGGTGGTGGAAGGGCCAAATGTCGACTACGAGATCGTGAACGATATATTGTATCACAGCCTTGAACTTGTATCATGCCCTTGTATATGAAGCCAGGAGGTGGTGCTTGATGATGGTGGCCGTGACGACCACGTTCAATAAAGATTATATCATCGCTTACATGACCATAACCACCAGCAGTGTATGTATGACCTTGAATATAATGCGATTGATGTTTTTACCCGTAGCTAAAATACTCACCAACATAATGCTGATGATGCTGATGATGTTGATGATGATGATGATGATGACGACTATGGTGATGACCACGATGATGTCGATGATGAGATCCATGTCTGGCTTCAGCTCCAACTGGTGAAATTGATGGGCGCACATGTGATACTTCATTATTTAATGCACTTGGAGAACGTTGATCAACTAATTGCCTTACAGAAAAGAAAAAAATATACATATTTGATAAGAAAAATAAATAAATATTATATTTATAAATTTCATTCAAATAAAACTTACTCAGATGTTTCACCGTGATTACTAATATCCATATGTTGTTGTTGAAAAAAACCTCCTGAAATGTTGCCACTAAATGGTACACCAAAGCCGGTACCTATCGATGCACCTTCAACTATAATCAAAGGATTTGTAAAAGTTTTTTAAAATTTTTATTTAGAAACAAGCTCTTTCTATGCAACTGATACTGACTATGATCTACTTTATGTATCGATTCATCACGACTTAATGGCGATTCACCAACAATACCATGTTTATTCTTACGATGACGATGGTGGCGGCGATGATGACGACGACTGGACGATTTATGTCCCTCATATCCAGTTTCCACAGGAATCGCGCCAGGATTGGCAAAACGCGGATCAATCATTATGAATCAGTTATAATAAAATTCAGAAAGTGGCAAGACCAGCCCAGCAATTAATCTACAAAAAATGAAACAAGGATATTCATAAAGTATTCTTGTTTCTTTATATTCATCTTATGTCAAATATTTTTCATTACTCGATCATGTAATGATCGAAAATAATATTTATAGTTATAATTTTGGAGTTTTTCACTACATTCAATGTCATTGTATATATATATATGCCGAGAATATCGGTACATATTTTATTTGATCTCATGATACGGTCATCATTATATGAATAATTATCCAAAAATGATAGGAAAAAAATATCTATTGGCATTCACGCATGACTATTAATTCACCTTCATACATTTCGATCAACTGCACACACACGTAAACATAAACATGTACGTGGGCCGATTATTATAGATGAAATATAGCCTCTCTCTCTCCAATCAATACTAACAAACAATGATGACAGTCATAGTTCTCAATAATACTGAATGGATACCTATTCAAAGGTATGCATATTTAGAGTAGAACAGAGAATAAATACGTGAATGAAACAAAATGGGGCTACAACTATCACTTATCCCTTATATTTTACCTGAAGCGTATCGATTTGAATGCAACGAATATAGAAGAAATAGAGAGAGAGAGAGAGAAAGAAAGAAAACGAAAGACAAGGCAAGAGACTAAAAAAAACATAAAATATGAAATGAATAGATTTGTGATACCATCACGAAGATATATCTATCTCAAAACAAAATAGATACGTACAAATAGATATCGAATTGAAAAATGGCTGAAATTTTTTCATTTCAAAAGCTTGAATTTTTTATTACTAATCCTACGTCGTTATGATCATATTAGGAAAAAAACAACATTTCATGCTTATTATAACTAATGGTATTTCGTACAGTAAAAAAATGAAAAAAACAAAAAAAAAAGTATGATTATTGTCAATGTCATTCTTATTCTTGACTCTCGTTTCTCATATTATACCGTATCGCTATTATTATATAAGCATAACAAAAAATAAAAAAACACAATTTAAAAATATCTACATGTTTCTGACAAGGTCTTTGAAAAAAAGATTCATCTATATATCGTCAAAAATAACTCAAGATAGATATACCTGATTGAACAACAGAGTGATAAACACTGCATATATTATCTCGATGTATAATATGAAGATATCTTATAAAAAAAGACCAATAAAATGTTTTATTATCATCATTAAAAACACCTGATGATACCTCACAAAAACTAATCTATACGTTGGATGTAGCAATGATATATGTTACTCGTAACTAATTAGAAAGAAGAACATTAGTTAGTCCCATGCTGATTCTCCAGTCTGTCGATGTAATGTAGAAGATAAACCTATGGCTGCATAGGATACTATCAATTATTGATGTCTTCGATCTAAATCTCACTTTTGCTGATTAACCACTAAGTTTCTAATAGAGAAAAATAAATGATGTTGACCACCTAACGATCAACAACCGCGTATTGTAATGAATCTATGTGTGTATTTACCTATTTATAAGTGTAATAATGAATAGTGTAGTATTATTATGATGTGTTATATATGGCTCATCTTTTTATTTAAGATTGGTTGGCTAAATAACTAGAATAACTTTTTTTTCTCTTTCTTTTTTGTGTATTTGTATACAAGTAAGATGCAATGAAGCATGACCAACCCTAGCCTTGTATATACTTTTCTTTTCTTTTTTGTGGATTTTTTCAACGAATACCAACGAAAAGGTAGAGCTAGAATAAAAAGATACATGCGATAAAACCAATATTTTTTGTGGTCATGTGGTAAAGTTGAAATCAGCAAACGATATCAAACTAAATCATTAAATGATACAGTTACGTGATACGCAAATTATATAAATATATGCGCAGAATAAATCAAGTTCATAATAGAACACATTAGAATAGAAAAAAGTACAACTCATAATGTATTTTGTCATTTATACGAACCTGCGCAATAATCCTGATAAACAAAAATCAATGATAAACAAAAATCAAATAGCAATAACGATAAAAAAGTTGACATGTCTTTTGTTTAATTATCTATGACTATGCAAAAAAAATCAAAACATACATGTTTAAGACAAGGCCATTGATATATATTTATCTCAAAATATTACAATCTTATGATTGCTTTTCTCTCTATATATTAACAAATATTGATTTTGTAAACAACGTAAATATTTTATTGCATGTATATTTCTGTCTTTATTTGTACGGAGCAATTTGTGTATCTGTAATAAAAGAAAAGATTTGATTTATTGCCTTATTATGTGTTAATGTCTATTTTAATCTGTAAAAAATTGATTTTTTTTTATAAAAGTATTATTAAAAGAAAACTAACAAATTCTTGCTGTTTTAATGAATGAACTAATTTATTGTTTATTGAACTTTGTAACAAAATCATTTCAATTGACAAAAATCATTTCATTATAACGTATTCGAAAATAACAAGATAATTATCTTTATTAATCATCTGTTCACGCATCGCAAAAATCAAATTGCTATTTATTACTTGCATTCTTTCTCAAACTTGCTTTTAATACCTAATTACTTGCTTTCTTATTACAATCATTCAAAAAATATTCGGTTACAATTCTTGAATTTATTTTAAATTATTATACGAAAAAGAAAAACAAGTCAATCATGTAAATCAAGGACGTTCTTCATTAACAATCTTTCTTTTTACAAATCGACTATAAAAAAAAATAAGCGAGAGATAGTTTATGATAAACATCATGTACGTCTTCTTGGCCTTCACAGTTTTGATCTTCACTTTGATTTTTTTAATCATCTTCGCTATTCATAACAGATTTCATTTGAAATATAATATTACTTTTTTTGTAGTGTTATGATAATGATACTACTAATTGAATATTTCATTCTCTCAAAATTTCAACTGTTATTTGACTTGTCATATCAGTTCTATCTTAGTTTGATTTTAATTTATATCTTCGATGATTTTACAATAATTTTCTACTAGCTAAGATTGCAATAAAAGTTCTCCAATGATGTAAAAACCCTATAACAATATATGATGAAAAAAAAAGTTATCATAAATAATAAATCTTAGACTTTAACCTTACACCTTGTTATCAATATGCTTATTTAATATCAATAATAATTTCTTTAAATTATGTTGCAATATATTCATATTAAAATGATCGTATTATTCAAATAGAATAAAGCCTTTAAAAATGCAAAACTAGTATTAATTCTTAAGCCAATGAAGTCAGCGACATTTTTTTTTCATTATTTTTAGCATGTAATAAAATATATGCCGAAGGAATTTATTTCCAAAATGTTACTTCATCTGTATGAAGAAAATCAACAAGTGATAGAGAACCAAATCATGTTAATTCTAATAAATATGAAATAACTATATTATTTCTTCATTTCTATCATTTTTGTTGTATTACTATTATTAGATTGCACTCATTTCATTCGTAACAATAATTGACATAGTCATTATATTTAAGTACTGTAGCATTACTAGTTGACTTAATATCTAAAAAATTACTTATAAAATTAAATAGTCTATTATATATTAAATTTTAATATTTAATTTGTTTGGTTCTTGATGCGTTCCATCCTGATCAAGGTTAATAATTTGTTTCTATACAAGCATATTTTGTTGTTTTAATGTTCAGAGCTGAGCAAGTACGAGTTTTCTGGAGCATGAGTACCAAAAAGCGTACACGAGTATAAGTATATACTTTTACTTGCTCAATTCTGTCATTGTTAGTCGAAATACTTGTTCAATAATATCAACTACTTGACTAAGAAAACCAAATAGTTCTCCATCATCCCAAAGCATATCATTTACCATATCTGTCGTTCGACATTTGTTGAGTATGTAATTTCAAAAGATAAGAAAAAAAGCCATTAAATTCTTTCTATTAAATTAAATTAAATTCTTTTTTTTCTCTTTAAATAGCTTCAATTGTTTCTCTTCAATCTCGTGAAACAATATGTAAGTTACATAAAGTAGAAGTAACAAGAAGAAGATAATCACCAGAAATTGCTATAAAATAAACAAAACCATGAAGTAAATAATTAAACATTTCATTAGGATAAATATGACTATAGTCCTTTGATATCAAATTTAGGTTGAATTTTTTCCAATTTTAGTGTTTTTTGTTCTCTTCTATTTTTTTTTGTATGCAATAAAAGATATTTATTATGGATTAGGGCTATGGTAATATAGAGGCCATGAGCCGCTACAATTGACTATAATTTTAAAAAAAAGACACAACTTTAATAAATAGAAATGGTGAACCATTTCATGCATTCATGATATTTGTCTTATCTTGATTTGTTTATATTACTGTGACGTATATTTTTAATTTTTTTTCTTGTTTAAATATTTATTTTACAGGTGATACATAATAAACGGGACAAAATATTTTTCTCAACACATTAGAAACTTCTCATTCGATGGAGAATTTCCTGTTTTACAAAACTATTGTCTTTGTTTTTTTTTTGTCGGCAAAAAATTTAAAAGATGAATATCTACTTAATACTTTTGCTAGGGCGGTCAAAAAAAACGAAAAATTTTTTCATAAAAATTTTACCGATATTTTGAACTTGTTAGAAAGTTCTCTACAAAATTCTATATCTTTTGATATATGTTTTAAGATTTTAGAAGAAATATATGGGAGAAAAATTTTTGAAGTAAAAAATGTGAAAACAATTTTCTGACAGAATTATCCATGTTGTCAAAATCGACTCAGTTTTGACAATTAACCGTGACAATCGAGCAACATAACAATTTATCATGATGGATTAGCAATTTTCCGCATATGTATTCTAATAGATCGCAATTAATCGATGATTATTTGGAACGATGCGATTAATCGATGATTTTGCAACTACCTTCAGCAAAAAAAGGGTTTATTTATAAAAATTACATATTTTTTCTTTTATTTTGATCAATTTCAGTAACACATTAGACATGACATACCCATGTCGCACGCTTGTATGCAATACCACCGCTATACCGACAATTTTGCCAGCGGTAGCACTTACGACTTTCGGTTTTAGCTATATATGTTCGCAGAGAGTGTTTTCTATCCGAATTCAAATTATTTATTAGAAAGAAATTTAAACTAACCGAGAAGAAAACAGTTTCAGAATATATTTTACTAATAAAAATTTTTGCAGCGTCATCTATAATGAAAAATTTATCTCATAAGTAGGACCGATTTGGACTCTGTGACTAGTATAGGCGTCTCAGACGCATCACCATTATCAGAGTGCATTGAAATCGACTCATTTCTGTCAGTTTTAATAGACTTCAAGAGTATTCATCCGTTTTGATACAACACTTTCAAAAAAAACTATCTATATAGTGCACATATAATTTAAAGAAATTAAATAGAAAAATTAATTTAAATACAAACCTTGTCGTAATCATATTGTACATAATGTGCTGCTTCAGTCGATATATCTGCTATCACGTCGCATAAGATTATCATTTATCAATGTTGAACCATGAAACAGTGAAAAACAGCTAGATTTATGTTCAGCAACTTTTTTTGAAGCTAACAATTAATAGCATATTCAAATAGTTAATACCAAAATATAGATTCTAAAAAGAGAAAATTTATTTTTTAAATTCAAAACTAAAATCATCATTAGTCGGCTGAGTTCGACCACAAGTAACTGTTACTTTGGAATTGTTCCACATTCAATTAACTAATAATAAAACTGCTTCTACTTAGTTTAAAATCTACATCTCCATCAAATGCTAATATTAATGCATTTTTAAGCTAGAAATTCACATCATATATAAATCATGATCTATTTTTCACTAATCTATTTCATCATACAACAATCTTTTTATCTTTTAGAGTAAATGTTTCAAAAGTCCATCAAATCTAATAAACTCCATATCTAGCCTACGTGCAAAAAGTTCTTGTACAATATGTCTGGTCAAATTTCGTTTACTTATAAGGCACTGGTGAGAATCAGAAGTCCATATTGTTTCTAACTATATATTCAGAAATTATTTCTATTGCCTGTTTAAAAAAATAATGGTTGTGGGTATTTTTGCAATAACTCAAGAACGACAAGAGCTACAGAGCTGTGGTTTTTCACCAGTCGAAAGAGGAAACATCGGAACGTCTTTTTCTCTAATATTATATAAGACGAAATCATTTTAAAATCAACCATTTTTACAAAATATCGAAAAAATGTATAAAAATGATCTGTCGTTCAGATCAAATTTTGACAAAAAGTACGAAAATTTGCTTAAAAATTAAGAGAAATCCATATTTTTTCGAGAGGCTAAATAAACAATTTCATTGGCTTAACATTAGGATGTATGGAGATAATCATTCGACTTATACCCAGGTCGAGACGAACAATTAAAGAACGTGTTCCGAACGGAAGACCGTATGAAAACGCGTTCGGCACGCGTGCGGACCGCGTTTGATAGCGGTCACCCGTTCCGAACGTCTGCGAACGCGTTCGCGAACTCACCGAACGTCATACCGAACGCATTCGGAACGCACGAAAAACGCGTTCCGAACTACTTGTTCCGAACGCGCTCTCTAGCCGTTCGTCTCGACCTGGGTATCTTAAACTATAGATCTTAAGTTCCTCTATCTAAATGACATATCAAAACCAAAATTTCATCGGATTGACAGACCGTTTTCATGCATTTTTTGCAATGTTTTGCAGAAACGATTGATTTTAAAATGATTTCGTCTTATATAATGTTAGAGAAAAAGACGTTCCGACGTTTCCTCTTTCGACTGGTGAAAACCACAGCTTCGTAGCTCTTGCTGTTCTTGGGTTATTGCAAAAATACTCACAACCATAATTTTTTAAAATAGGTAATAGGTTAAATTGGTTACAAATTGTTTGCTAAGTAAAAGTTTTAAAATGCTACGTTGATGTTTGCTAAATAAAATTTGTATCTGCTCAATAAAAAAATTGAATGCTAAGTAAACATATCGAACGCTCAGTTAATTATAAGTTTCTGAGTAAAGAAAAATATTTGCTAAGTTTGATAATTAATAACTAAGTAAAAATGTGTTTTGGTTAAATTAATAAACCGAAATTATACCAAAAAGGATAAAATCACTAACGAGGGAAGGTCTCGAGATGTCCAACGAGTTTAGAGTCCATCTTTTAGCCATAGATAGACATTGATGAGGTATGAAAAACCCCAAGAGGATACGTTCCCTTAGGCCTTCCTTCCAGAATTATAGCTGTTTTAGTATAATTTCAGCCTATAGCTCGATATGCACCAACAAATCGAATGACATTATTTTGAGCTGAAATTTAGCCTAGAAATAACTATGCTTATGACTAGAATGCACTGAAAATTTCAGCTCAGAAGAATGTTCTCTTCACGAGATATTGAATTATCAAGATTAACTCTTATCCTATGAAAGAAGCGCGAACCTCATGTTTTTTTGGGAATTCAATATCTCGTGAAGAGAACATTCTTTTGAGCTGAAATTTTCAGTGCATTCTAGTCATAAGCATAGCTATTTCTAGGCTAAATTTCAGCTCAAAATAATGTCATTCGATTTGTTGGTGCATATCGAGCTATAGGCTGAAATTATACTAAAACAGCTATAACTCAGGAAGGAAGGCCTAAGGGAACGTATCCTTTTGGGGTTTTTCATACCTCATCAATGCCTGTCTAGAGTCACAAGATGGACTCTAAACTCGTTGGACACCTCGGGACCTTCCCTCGTAAGTAAAAATTATTACTACTAACGAGAGAACCGTTCGAAGTGATTTATCGCTTTTGGTTTCATATTTTACCCATGAGCAGGGGACCAGTGGACTAGAAAAAGCCTAAGAGGATATGAGTGCATGTTGCAATGTAGCTGAGATATTCAAGTTTTACTCAAATTCCTCTGGAGGATACAGGTTTTCCAGCAAAATCATATTTTCAAATTTTGACCTGAAACTTTGCTCACATAAAGATCTCAATTAGACTAGCTTGCGAAAAAATTTTCAGAATTTTCGGATATAGTATCACCGAGATATGAATTTTCCAAGATAGTCATGTATTATACGGGTTTAGGACAGTTGCTCGCAGGACAGTTGCTCGTCGGACAGTTGCGCGCGGACAGTTGCTCGCTAGGAAATTTGCTCACTAGGACATTTGCTCGTCTAGACACTTGCTCGAAAAGGGCAGTTCCTCGCACGATAATTGCTCGCGAATCATATAGTTACAAGGAGGAAAAAGAAAAATTTCTGTACTTCAGTCGTGCTTCACCATATTTCAACCAACTTCAAGGGTTTTTTAAAGTTATTTCCGAAATGTTTTTAGCTGTTTAAGTCTACCATAGATGTGTGTCACAGAAGTACTGGTTTGAAATCATTCGATATGAGTTTATCCTAAATAAAAGCCTAAATACTTTACAGTATTTCGCTGAACTTTACGATTTGAAGTATGGTAAAGCGCTGTGGGGTAAGGAAATTGTGCGTTGTCTCCTCTTGTATAGCTACCTAGTGGTAATGAGTAGCTGAGGAAAGGGTAAAGAGAAAACTCTAGCATCTATTCTTACTCTTATCCTGATGTTAGGTCGTCGACCATCAAAGCAAAAGAAAGAACTCTTGAACAAACAACTGAAAGATTTGCTTCAAAATACATATACAATCGTCAAGAATTATTTAGAAAACATTCGACGTTTTTCTATGTAGAACTTTTTTGGTTCTTTCGTGCTTTTTATTGTTGGTTGTCGTCCTTAAAGATTATCTTTATGTCTTATTCATATATATACAGCGAACTAGTTTTACAAGCAAGTATCCGACGAGCAATTGTCCTGCAAGTAATTGTCCTTTTCGAGCAAGTGTCCAGACGAGCAAGTGTCCTAGTGAGCAAATGTCCTAGCGAGTAAGTGTCGTAGCGAACAACTGTCCGTTTCTCGTATTATACAATGTCTTTGGAAAAATGCCTATAATTTGGAAAATTCATATTTCAGTGGTACCATGTCCGAAAATTCTAAAATTTTTTTCGCAAGGTAGTCTAATTGAGGGCTTTACGTGAGCAAAGTTTCAGGTCAAAATTCGAAAATACGATTTTGTCGGAGAACCTGGTTTCTCAAGGGAAATTTGAGTCAAACTTGAATATCTCAGCTATATCGCAACATGAGACCATATCCTCTTAAGCTTCTTCTAGTCTACTGGTCCCCTACTGATGGACAAAATATGGGACCAAAAGTGATGAATCACTTTGACCGGTTCCCTTGTAAGTAATTTCGAATAAAGACAAAGTACGGTTGTGTAAGATACGAAGAATTTTTTTATGGTGTTATGGCGTATACGTTTTCTCTCTTGCTTTCCTTCTATCAACATTAAACTGGTATTGTAACATATATATATTCCACCTATATTTTCTTTCGTTCTGATGTCATCCATGAATAGGTGCATGTTTTCTTCAAGGATATTCTGATATAATTATTTCTATCTTTCTCTTACTGTTTCTTTTACATATGATCTGTATTGTTTTCTAGAGAGTTCTTTTCTGTTTGGCACTTTCTAATGAGTTTTCACACCCTCTCATTTATATATATATATATATATCTGTCACTGAAAGTTTATTTTGAATTAATCAATTATGACGAATTTTATGGCGACACAACGATATGAAAGCTCATCAGAATCAGATGATGAAAGGATATCAATCAGCAAGATATTCAAGAAAGGAAAAAAGTTTGACGTAAGCTTCACTGGATTAAAGACAACATTTTTTCTGATGATAATGAAGCTCAAATGGCAATTAAACAAGAAAAACAATGGAGTCGATATTATACTAACAAAGGTCATGATGGAACTAAAGTTCATTATCGCTGTAATCAAGTACAATTTCGTGGTAGACGATGTGCTGCAGCAATATACCTACACTATCCAAATGATAGCGATCAAATAGTATTATTTCGTTCAGCAAATGAACATGATCATATCAATTCAAATCGATGCAAAGGTTTTCCTGAAGAAGAAAAAGAAAATATTGAAGAATTATTTGATTTAAAATTAAAACCCAAGAAAATATATGAAATATTAGAAGAGAACAATTTTAAGATTACGTTTAGTCAATTAAAAAATTATTTGGTTCTATTGTGTAAAAAGAAATTTGACGCTTCAACTTTAAGCTAGGGACAATTAAAATCTTTGTGTATTGAAAAAACTACAGTGCCGCAAACTGACGATAAGCCATTTATTCTTTCATATAATGTTAATTATGAAGACGGTATTGATGATGATCAAAACGTGGTAGATGATTGCAATAAATTTAGGATTTTTATATCAACGAAAAGGTTATTGAAAATTGCTTCCACTTCAACACGGTTACATGCTGATGTCACCTATAAATTGAACTGACAGAGCTTTCCTGTATTAATAGTAGGACCAAGTGATTATGGTAGGAAATTGCATCGATTTGGATTGGTAGTGTGTAGTGACGAAAAGCAACAAAAGCTCTATTAATACAATAATTGTACAATTAAATTTTTTACTTAGATTTTTACGAAAGATTTAAACACATTGATTTAGAATCAGAATTTAATGTTCTTTCTATATATTTGTTCAATTTTTTTTTCTATCCTACGACCAAGAGGAAAACATAATACTTCATACTTCACGTACTTTACCATACTTTAATGTACTTTAAGGTACGTCAACAAACTTGAAGATACTTTACATACTTCATCGTACTTTAAGATACTTTAGAATACTCTGCCGTACTTTAATGCATTGCAATATACTTCAATGTACTTTAATGTATTTTATCATACTTTAACATACTTCAAGGCACTTCTATGCACTTATTTGTACTTGTGTGTTTTTCATAATTAATTTTTCTACTTATATCTGGAAGTTAACAAGATCGGTTCTAGTTCTGATCTGAGGATCTATTCAAAACGCTTTCTCATAGAATCTAACTTTTTCAAACACATCAAATCCAATAACAAGAATACAAATGGCACTCTGACTTTAAAAAAGGTTTGATGAAGTAGTTCAAGTTAAAGTAGGATTCTTTAAACTTTAAAGTATCATACTTTAAACGTTAAAAGTTAAAGTAGCAAATTTTAACTTTAAAAAAATTGAAGTTCAAGTACAGATTTTTTTCTCCATTTGCATTTTATACATAGCGATAATGTTAAGTTAATCAGTTGTTAAAATCCGACTACAGATTTTCGGAGTTCGGGAATCCGAATTTTAAATCAGTTTCTCAAATTGGGTACTTGGCTTTTTCACTAAGGAAAGGGTTTTTTCTTGAGAAAATAATGATTTTTTTTATAAAGTTTGACCAAAGGTAATGGAGGTCGAGTAGTTCGAATCTGTAATCAGTTTCTCGAAATTGTGTACTTCATTCCTCGTGTGAGTTATCTCTACCCCCGGTACCATTGGTCAAAATTAAAAAGAACTGATAACTATCCTAAAGTAGCTTATCTTCCACGAAAAAACCAAGAACACAATTTTGAGAAACTGATCATAAACTTGAATTCCTCAACTACGAAAGCTTTTTATCAAACTTTGTAAAAAAAAATCAACATTTCTCTCAAATACTCTTCTTCTGCATAGTTCCACGCGAAAATAATTTTATTCCGTTTTCCTTTTATGCTTACACACCTGACGGATATGTTAGGCTATTTGAGTGTACTCAGTACCTTTAGTTCCTTTAATCCCTTTAGTCTCTTTAGTAACTTTAGCTCTTTAGCGCTTTTAGGTCATTTTTGTCCCTTTAGTATCTTTAGACCTTTCAGTCCCTTTAGTACTTTTCGTTCCATTAGGTCTTTTTAGTGCCTGTAAGGTGTCAGTGACTAAGCGTACTAAAATGACTAAAGATACTAAAGTGATCTAAACATACTAAAGGTACTAAGAGGATCTAAAGATAGTAAAGAGACTAAACGCTCTGATAGGTTTCAAAGCATAAAAGTAAAATGGATTAAATTTGTTTTTCGTGGATCCCTCTTTCTCTGTCAGGAAATCGGGGTGATGAGTTTTGAGAAACCGATTCCAGATTTGGATTAGAGATCCGAAAACTGCCGAATGATACCGCCTCGCCTCACCGTGAAGCAAATCAAGATTTTCTACAAGAAAATGAGAATGAGACAATGTGAATGTGACGATTCATCTACCCTGTCTTACGAAATTTCGCTTGATCACTTTATTTAATTCCAGCAACTACAGCTAACGTCGAACACTAGTTCAATGCTAGTCCGTTTTTGATCAACTCTAGATGTATTCGATTAAATCCATAATAAATAAACAACACATTGTTTATGTGTTTAATAAAAACACATAAATCATACTTATTCATTTAGATCTTGTTATATAGTTTTTTGTATTTTGTTTTGTGAACCTGCTTATATGTATTAAATGCACTTTATTTGATCTTATGAAGTAAAAGAACTAGTAACTGTTACACGTACTTGAAAAAATGTATTAAAAAACATCTGTTTTGTTGAATTTACATCGCTTTTCGAAGAAAATAGTGAATAGAATTTTAAATCGAAGTTTTTCGACTTCTTCCTATAAATTACAGATCTTAGGAGCTGAAGACAACAACGTCAAACTTTTTTCTCAGAGTTACTAACCAACAGAAAACAGAGCTGAACGGCATTCAAAACGAGACTTAGACTGTTCCAAATTATTTATTCTAGAAGATTCAAAAGCCTTTCTGGAAACTTAAACGGCTGGAATACGTTTGTAAATGTTTGAAATTGTATAGGTTTTGATTTTTGTGCAGATAAAAATTTATATTCAAGATGTCAAAGATGATGAGTAACGATAAATTGATTTTGTCACAGTCCTCAAATGATCAATATAAAAAGCATGAACTGAGTAAGTTTTAACTTTAGAAAATAATACATATCAGTATTTCTGAGTTTATTGAGATATACAATAGCACGATGAGACTTGCTGCTGCTGCAGATATAATGGGTATGTCCAACAGGTTTATTTACTAGTTAATTCAAAGCTTAGAATAATAAGAGGGTTAAATTAAGAAAAACGAAATACGAAAAAAATAATAACGAGCTCATCAGCAACAAGGTAAACGAAAAATAGAGTGCCAGTGTGAGAAATTCTCTTCGATATGCACAGATAAATAGGATAGATAATTTCTCTAATGGTCGATTATCTGGGAAAACAACCGTAGTCTACGAGAGATTTTCACTTTGCCGCTTTTGTATCAGGATAATGAAGCTAAAGAGCATATGTGAGTTCTACATTTCGACTCCTAAGAAATTGCGCTAAAAGCTTTGTATCCTAGGTCATTGAAGAGGCGACGCAGTGGCGACCTGAAGGTCAGTGAATGAGAAGGTGGCGAAGTGAGCATTTTAAGAGAAGGACGAGTGAAACTATGGCAAAACGGTCTTTCGACTGCTTCACGGATGACAGATTTAGATTTCTTGATTCCGATTACCTTTTGTCAACCCTTATCAAAAATCGTCATATTCATGAAATACCCTTCACATGCCAAGAAATTATGGCGATGTATTTTCAATTAACAGTTACTCAATAACGTAATTGTAACTTCGGTCACCTAGATTACATTACTAGTTTACAAAAATCACTGTACATTGCAATCCGATGAATGTGATTACAATTTTTTACTACAAGAATATAAAAGCATTGACCCTTTGTCAAATATGTTATGGATCATATCGAGCAGTTAGATCGTTCTGATATTTGAAAGGTACTTTAAAGTACTTTATGATACTTTATCGTACCTTAGGGTACTTTAGGTGCTTTAACGTAGTTTAAAATACAAAAGTGTCATGTTTCCCCTTACCTACGACTGATTATGTGTGAGCAAATATTTATCAAAAATTTTCTTTACACTAATGAGGAAAGTCTTCCAACTGTTCAGTCGCTTTTGAATCAGAACTACGTGTATTGTGTAGATCCAAACGAGCTATGAATACCTTGAGAAGAGTTCGAACACTCAGCTTCTTGCTACAGAGATACCACACTTTTGCGGTATTTTTTTAGCAGAATGTCGTGGTTTTCCCTCACGAACACCAGAAAACAGGATTTTCGAATTTCGACTTGAAAGTTTGCATAGATAGAGACAGATCTTAGCGAGAATAGTTTCAGATCTTGTCACTGTTCCTATCCTAAGATACAACTATGCTAATAGTGTGTCTTTTATATCACTCATATAAACCAGCAAATTTGGTCAGTATGCTCTTCACCGAAAGCCACATCGTCGAAATGCGGATCGCCGAACTTCGGCGAACTGCATTTCGGCAACGTGACTATCGACTATATGTATTGTCGGCGGTGTCACTCTTGACGATATGGCTATTGGCAATTTTTATGCCAACGATCGAATCGACCAGTTAACAACTAACTTGAGTGATATAATAAGTTAGGAATCAAGTTAGCTACTAACTTGATCAAGTTAGAAACCAAGTTGACAATGTCAGCTACTAGCTTTACTTAGGAACGGCGTTAAATTAGTCACTAACCTGATTCAGTGTTAACTCTTATAAGCTAGTAGATGATCGAAATGAATTCAACGATCTGCATTTCGATGAACTTCGTATCGACAAGCAGTATTTCGGCGATCTTTCTTTTCGATAATGTTTGTTTCAGCGCGAGTTTCGACGATATTATTTTTCGACGATATCGCTTTCAGCGATGAGGCATACAATCGCAGATTTGATGGTCTTATTTCAAGATAATTAGAAGCACATCAAAAGGCTTCAAACTCTCACAATAAACTGCTCTCCTTAAGACCTATTTTTGCACAGTTTCAAGTCGAAACTCGAAAATCACTTTTTCTGTTAGCACGGTATTAATTTATAAAAATATTGTAAAGATACAGTATCTGCGCAGCAATAAACTAAGAACACGAACTCTTTTCATGGTATTTATAGCTCATTCAGATCTATACAATACATACAGTCTTGACTCAAAAGAGAAATATCATTTGGAAGATTTTCCTCGTAAGTCAAAATAGGCTTTTTTCTGTCATTCATAAATTCTCTAAATGAGAATTTGGGTTAGTTTTGATATTCTAGTGTTATATAGAATTCTATTTTCTACTAAATCACGAATTAAGGTAAGTTAGAACTTAAGAGAATCAAAACCTATAAACGGTTTTCGAACAGTTACTCTTTACATGAGACAACATTTTTCAAAAA